ATCCACCTTTCCAATGAAAAAATAATAAAAAATAAATCTTTAAAAAAAAAAAAGCAAATCTTAAAAGAAAAACAAAATGAAATCACTATGGAGATAATGACAACTCACTGTAATGAGACAATGGATTGGGTTCTTCGGCAGAAAAGTGACATTATTTAAAGATAGAAACTTCAACAAGGTCACAGACTACCCAATGCTGTCATGTTATTGTAATTTTCCGATTTTATAACTGCCATGGGTATGTAAGGTATTTATTTAGGTGAAGGTGGCTGGAAGAGATATGTAAACTCTATTTGCTACCTTTTTTTTTTTGTTAACTTTCTCAAAGATCACTTCAAATAAAAAAAAAATATGGAGGAAGAATAAGAAATAGACCCATAAATGAAAAAGACAATGAAATTCAAGTAGACAACAGCATTTAGTAGTTAAAGGAAAACACAAAGAGAATTAATAGAGGGATGATAAAAACATTTTTAAAAGAATCAAAATTTGTAGAACTAAGAATTATAGTATTTGAAATAAAAATTCACTGAGATGGCTAGAGAGTGAAACACTACACATCTAAATGAAATAGAAATATAGCAGGACAAACAATCTACACGTTGAGGTTCCACCTAACTCCAGTGAGATTGGCCTACATTCAGAACTCTATTAACAACACCTTGTGGCATGGATGTGGGTGAAAAGTACCCTCCTTCACTGCTGGTCAGAGTGTAGGCTAGTACAACAAATAAACCTGCCATTTGACGCAGGTATCCCGCTTCTAGGAATATACCCCAAAAAATTGATAACTGCATATGAGAAAGGGATCTGTAATCTTATATTTACAGCAGCACAATCTACAATAGCAAAAACATGGAAGCATCCCAGATGCCTGTCCAAAGAGGAGTGGTTAAAGCAACTGTGGTATATCTACTCTGTGGAATACTACTCAGCCATTCAAAAGGATGAAATTCTACCATTTGCAACAAAACGGTTCCAACTACAGACCATTATATTAATTGAAATAAGTCAATCCCTAAAGGAGAAATACCATATGTTCTTTCTGATATAAGGCAACCTTCATGTAAACTGTAAGATCAATAACCCTTTCAATACTGTTGTTGCTGCAACCCAGGGATTTTGATATTATGTTTATTTTCATTTCTTCAAAATAGTTTCTTTTCTCTTATTAAATTCTTCCCTGACCCATAGGTCACACAGTCAATCATTTTACCCAAGAAGCTTTTAAGTTTTCTTTTTCATTTATCCATCAAAACATTGGTTATTCGGCAGCATGTTACTTAATTCCATGGTGCTGTAAATTTTTTGTTTCATCTTTGTATCTGTTGTTGATTTTGTTTCATGGTTCCTCATGTAAGGGAATGTATAGTAACTATATAATAGAGATTACCACATCCAATTGTGAAGATACAATGCAATATGCATCTCCACTTCCAAATCAAAGATGAACTCCCATCTGTTGATATATCTTGACGATAGGATGCTGGACTGTCTGTCATTGTCTGTACCAGCAATGTCGGGGCACACTGAAATAACAGCATGATGGACTTAAGGAGTATTATACTGTTGTAATAAAATGAGGGAAATAAGTTGGAGGGAGGGAATGTGGGGAGGAGGAAGGAGAAATCCCAGAGCCTATGGAATCGTACCATAAAATTAAAAATAAAATAGAAGAAGAAATAGAAGCCATTTAAAAGAGCAATAATGCAGTGTCAGGACTACTATCAAGTGATCTAGCATACCTATAATTTGAGTGCTAGAAACGTATAAACTCAAAGGTGCAAGAAGCTTTACTGCCCACTCAAAAAGATAAAAACAAAGAAAAACGCATCGGCACACCCAATATGCTGCAAACGAGCAGGGGAAAGGGTATGTTGAAATGAGCCAGATAGCCCAGGGCTCACAATATAAAAAGGAAGAAATTTGACTAGTATGAGTGATGCCTAATTGGAAATTATCCAATCCAGAAGACAATGGTTTATTGAAAGGATAAAAGGATTTGAAAAACCTCTCTGAGGCAGTCCTGGAAACAAACAAAAGGGCACAAGTGAGCGATATCAGGTGTGACGGAGGGAACCTCAGTAAAGATCTGCAGACATCAAAGGGATGATAAAATGAACAATTTACACCAACATGCTTGGTAACCTATATGAAATAGACATATTTCTCGAAAGATAAACAGCTAGAGCTGTCGCAAGAGAAAGAGCGTTAGAACAGCTTCCTATCTGGTATAGGGATTGAAATCGCAATGAGAAAACTTATCCAGAAAGAAAATCTGAGGCTCAAATAGCTTTTCTGGTGGATTTTAGCAATAATTAGGAAAAAACAAACCTCATCAGATATAAACTTTTGCAGAAGATAGGTGACGAAATAAGCTCTCTCCTAACACTGCCTCTAAAACAAAGTTGTTTTTTTCTTTAAAGACATTTATTTATTTGTATTGGAAAGTCAAATCTACAGAGAGGAGGGGACACAAAGGAAGATCTTCCATTCGATGATTCACTCCCCAAGTGGTCGCAATGGCCGGCACCAAGCCAATCTGAAGCTAGGAGCCAGGAGCCTCTTCTGGGTCTCCTATGCGGGTGCAGAGTCGCAAGGCTTTGGGGCCTTCCTTGAACGCTTTCCCAGGCCACAAGCAGGGATCTGGACAGGAAGTGGGGCTGCAACAACTAGAACTGGCGCCCATATGGGATTCTAGTGCATATAAGGTGAGGACCTTAGCTGCTAGGCTACAGCACTGGGCCCCAAAAAATTCTTTATTAAAAAACAAAACAGTGAATGCCAAAAATACATCTAGTCACCTCAATGAATGCCAAAAATACATCTAAAACCAACCAGCATAAGTTAATAACTTAAACATTAAGAGAACTACTTATAAAAGGAGATATAAAAGATGGGTATTTATCATTTTAACAAGTAAAGCATAGCAATAAAATATCAAGTTGGGGGAGTGCATTTGGCACAACTTTTAGACAACACTTGGGAAGACCATATTCCATGTTGCAGTCCTTGGTTCAAGTCCCAGTTCGTCTGCTTCTGATCCAGCTTCCTGCTAACGCACACTTTAGGAGACAACAGGTAACAGATGAAACATGTGGATCCCCGTTGCTCATGGGGGAGACTGGGATTAAGCTACAGGAGCCTGGCTTCGGCCTGATTCAGACTGGAGGCAACAAATCTATGTAACTGAATTGCAAATAAAGTCAAAATAGATAAAGTCACAAATGTGATAACTATGACTTATGCTGCTATTAACACTGTTATGGATTTTCAAGCTTCCACACATATGTAAAATGGGTACAGTTATTGGGGAAAAAACTGCACACAATTTTTAGAACAGTATGCACCTTGGTATGTGGTGAAAAATCCAGATAAATAAAATGGAAACATTTGGGAAGAGCATCATTGGATGAAGACCTCTCTCTTTCTTTCCCTGTCTATCTGTGACTCTGCCTTTCAAATAAGTAAATAGTTTTTTTAAAGGATACGTATATAAAAAAAGTAAGACTTTACACCAAAATGGCCAGTTTGTCAACCTAAAAATTCATTAAGAGCAACAAAAGTCCTTAGACACAATCCTGAAATGAGGTATCTATAACCTCCATGAAGGTGAAGAACCAATGTTAAGGATAAGAGGGTCTGAATAAACATGGAGAAATGCTATTTTCCTGAATTAGAATGCTGAATTTCATAAAAGTGTCTGATTTCCCCAAAATAACACTGGGGGTTAAAACACTGGAATTTGTTCTGGGAACTTGACAAAATAATCCTGCAGATCAAATGGAAAAAAGAAACTGGTGAGAAAATAACCAAACTATACTTTTTGTTTCAAAGCATATTTAAATACAAATTCTCTGGATTACTGAAGTAATCAAATGTAAAAAAAAAAAAAAAATAGAAGAGGGATAGGTGTTGGGACTGACAGCTAAAACACTGCCTCGTATGCCCACATCTCATATTGGAGTGCCGGGGTCCAAGCCCCAGGCCTGCTCCTGCCGACAGCTTTCTGCCAACATGCCCCTTGAGAAACAGCAGGTGATGGAATAGAGGTTTGGGTTCCTGCCACCCACAGGAGAGGTCTGGACTGTGGCTAGATTCAGGCTTTAGCCTGGCCCAGGCTGCTGAGTGCATCTAGGGACTGAATAAGTGGATAAAAAATACACTCTCCCTCCTTTTCCCTCCTCTCAAATACAACAAATAAAAGTTTTAAAAACAATTCAAAGAAAATAAAGTGATTAGATCTCCTCTAAAAGGAATACCTATTTTGGACCTCACACAATAGCCTAGTGGGTAGATCCTTACCTTGCATCTGCTGGAATCCCATACGGGCATTGGTTTGTATCCGGGCTGCTCCACTTCCCTTCCAGCTCCCTGTTTGAGGCCCGGGGAGTGAACCAGCAGATGGATGATCCTTCTCTCTGTCTCTCCTTCTCTGTATACATTTGCCTTTCCAATAAAAAAATAAAAATTACTGAAAAATAAAATAGAATAAGAATACCTAAGTGAAGAAAAAGGAATGTGTGTGTGTCTGTCCCCTTTTTATTTTGTTTTGCTTTTTAAAATGCAGATCAAATTTACAGAGAGAAGGAGACACCGAGAGAAAGGTCTTTCAGCCGCTGGTTCACTCTCCAAGTGGTCTCAACAGCCAGATGTACGCCGATCCAAAGCCAGGAGCCAGGAGCCACCCCCAGTTTTCCCACACGAATGTAGAATGCCAAAGCTTTGAGCCATCCTCCACTGCTTTCTCAGGTCACAAGCAGGGAGCTGGATGGGAAGTGGAGCAGTTGGGACACGAATTTGTACTCACATGGGATCCTGGCACTTGCAAGGTGAGGATTTAGCCACTGAACTATCACCATGCCAGGCCTGGTGTATGTCCTCTTAAAAACTAAGAACATCTCCATGTCAGAAGGTCACAAACAAAATTAAGGGCAAATTACAAACCAAGAAAAGACAATGGTAATGAACGTGTGGAGAAAAATTAACGCAGAGAACCCTTAAGCGATAGAAAACAACTTTTAGTCAATAAGAAAAATACTAACAACGTAATAACTTAACAAAAGACACAAAACAGACAATTCTCTGTAAGATGACAATCAGCAGATGTGGGACTAAATGCTTAATATTATTACTAGCAGAGGAATGTGAATTAAAACTACAGTCAAGTATATTTTTCCCTCTCATGTTCAAAGCCAACGAGGCGGTAGTTAGTAAGACAAGAACTTGCACTTACTATTCGTTGGTGTGCAGATACTGTTAGCTTTCTGTGAAACATATTGCCACAAATTTACCTTTAAAAAATTCATTTTTGAACCCGTAAGCCCATATGTAAAAACTCCATTCTAAGGGAACACTGACGTATACAAATATTTACACATAATCTGATTCTTCCATGACCTTTTACAAATCATATAAATGTGCAAACCAGTTCATTGTCATTGAATCATCAGGGACAGACCTCTGACCTTCTAGCTAAGACAGCACATCCCACACTGGAGTGCCAGGGTTGACAACCAGCTCCGGCTCCTGGCTAGGCTTTCTGCTGATGCAGATCCAGGCAGCAGCAAGGACCGTTCCTGGGATCGGAATCCTGCTGCCTAACAAGGGACCTGGATCGTGCTTTGGGCTCCAGGCTCCAGCTTGCTCAGCAGCAGTAAGTATTTGGGGAGTTAATCAGCAAATGGGAGCGCTATTTATACTGTTGTCTATTTTTTTTTCACATAAATAAATGTATTCAGAAAAACAAAATTATGAAAACCTAAAGCAAAAGTAATTTACCCCATGATTTTGTTAGCCACTCTCCCAGTATGTTGAAAACCATACTGCTTTAGCTATTGTGTGGCAAAATTACATAAAGTAAGGCACATGCTTAAAAACTGTCACAGATGAGTTTATTCAGGAATTTGTGACGACACTGTTACTGTTGCTCACTTGATCACTTTTCATTATGGCAACTGACACTCCAGAGGCCGCTGCCATGAATTCAAACAATTATTTTCCCAGATTTTCTTTAGAAACACAAAAATCAAACGTTGAAAAAAAAACAAAACCCTGAAAGCTCCTGGCTTTTGTTAGTTTCATTTTTTCCACCCAAAAGATACTGACAGGAAGTACAGTGGCTTTGAAAAAGATCAAAATAGAGCAAATAAAAACCAAGTCATTTTTGTTAGACTTCATTTTACAAAGTTCCAAATCTTTCATTTCTTTTTTTTATTTTTTGCACCAAAAAAGGAATCAATACTTTTCATTCCACTCTTGTCAACTTTAGCCAAAGCCTTCTGAGCTGCGGTCATTTTGCTATTTTTCTGTTAATGAAAATAAGAGAGAGAGAGAAACACTTATTACAAATGTAACATTTATAAATCATACTTGCAAATCAAACAAGTGTGCATGTCTCGCGGTTCATTACGGGAGGCAGGCGTCTGCTACTCCCATGCCTCACGCGGGACAGAAAAACCTCTTGATTTCTATTCAGAATCCAGACCTAAGAGACAGAATACGTTAGGACCAAAATGCCGCCTTCCAAGAAGTGGAATGCTACAAGCAATGGTCTACTTTCAAGGGGGCTAATTCTGGAGGGTGCATTAAGTGCAGTACCACGGACAATGGAACTGACACAGGCGGCAGCAATTGTCACACGGAGGAATTACAGCCTGGTATTACCACTTGATGAATAATTCACAGCAATTTACCATCTGATTTTATTCATTCGCTCTATGGGAAACCAAGGACAACCCTATTATATTCAGAAGATGCCCTGTATCGCAAAGCATCCTGGACCAGCAGGCTAGCTGTCCCATTTTTCTTTCAACAAAGAAATACTTCTTAAAAAGGCAAACTCCAAATGACTCTGTCCTGTGTCTCTTCTTGGCTGTTGCATTCTCCAGCCACCTCCTCCCCTCAGCCCTTACAGCTTATCAAAAGCACTACAGGATGGAAAATAGCTGATTTCACTTTGAGGAATTACCACTTGTTCCCAAGCAGCACAAATCACGGGCATTGGCAGAGCAAACACATCAGCTGCCTCCCCGGGGGCTGTAGGAGACAGGTGCACTGACCGAGCATCCTCGGAGGGCTGGGCACGTGGTTCCTGTAACCCTGCCTCCCTCTGATGCTGTCGCTGCCATGTTAGCTGTCTGATTTTTGACTGGATGGTAAAAAAATGACATTTTCTTTTAGTTATCCCAGGCTTTCAGCTGCCTTCCCAGTCCAGCCCTAGTCTCTCACTGGTGCTGTGTCCAAGAAGATGTAATGGGAAGGAGCATTTCCATGAAGGGGTCGGAAAGACTTCTCTCAAGGAAATCTAGAATGTCTATTCTGGAGCACTGAGAGAACCTGCTGGTTAGACCTTAAATTGAATTGTGCTGTGATGCCATATGTCAATATGTTTACAAACAGATTAAAGAACATATATAATTATATATTGTTATATATTATACATATTATTTATATAAATTATATATTTACACATGTACACATATATAAACACACATATACATATATATATAATTTTTTGTTAAAGTACATTAAGTTCTACAGGGAGTAACTAGAATAAAAGTCTAGGTGGAAGTTAACCTTTCTTGGGATGAGCAAGGACTCCATAAGCATAAAAACAGTAAGAAAATCACAAAGGAAAACAATCCCAGAAAAATTAAAAACCAACAGAAAATCACATGCAAAGGCTAAAAACATACTGGAAAATGACTTGCGCCCTGCAGGTACCACGAGATGTTAGTAGTCTTAATTTAGAATTGATTTTATGAATCAACAGGTAATGGACAATTCACAAAAATGGAAAACAGCAACAAGCACTTGAAAGGTAGAAAGAAAAACTGATGTTCCTAGTAAAATACATTTTTGATGGACAAAAATGATCAGAATAAAAGTAATAACCAAGGTTATCAAGAATGCATGACAATGCCTCTTGGGGTTACAAATTTGGAGTACATTTTTAGAAAGCACTTCAGCGACACATATTTCAATACTTATGAAGTAGCTTACTTTCTCTAAACTCTTATTTTTAGTTCTCAATTGTACCAAAGAAATAATCAGAGAAGTAGGCCATAAGAATGTGTATTATGTCATAAAAACAATTAAAAAAAATCAGAACTCTGCCCAAAATAGGAGATTAATCAAGTACTCTTCCAAATGAGGAACTAAAATAACACACATGACCACGAAGTCACGAACAATTCTTCAAGGGATGTTGTGTGAACATAAGAACAATATAAAGCTAATGAAGTGGGCAGAACCAAAAACTATATAAGTGCTATCATGCCAACTTTAAAGGCTACAAGTGCTTATTCAGTAAGAAATACAAAATATTTGCTGGGGTGATTGCTAATTAGTGCAGTCATTAATATATTTTTGTTGTTTTTAGAAATCTTGGGAAGATTCTGGGCAGCAGGGTTGACCAAAAATTACTTTCCATTCGACATTGTCACTAGCAAAGTTTGGGCAGTCTTGCCATGGCTATTAACTTCCTTTGATTCATGAAAAGTCAACTATTTAATATTTTCATTTTAAGTAACACTAGGAACTAAGTATTAAGTCATGGTATTAAGTACTAACTCTTCATGGTCAAAATTGTAATTACCATTAAGCATGCAACTGTGTCTGGTGTATTCAGGTAGTACCACCCACCAAGGCCATGCAGTATGCCTTCCACCTGTACACACATACCTTTTCAGTCTTCAAATCTTTAGTGTTAAACTTAGTGTAATCTTCTGTTGCTTCTACAGGCTCATCTGATAACTTTATTTTCTGCAATGTTAGAGTAGTGAAGTAGTGTCAAATGTTATTGTGACACATCAACTCATTAAAAAAAAAAGAGATCTGTAGTTGAGTTCCACACAGAGGTCCAATGAAGCACAGGCCTATACTGGGTTTACATTTCACAAGAGCTCTTTTATGCTTTGCCAATTATATAGGGAAATAAAGCCACTATTACTTCTGAGAAGAAACCTTCATGATGGTACAGTATGATTGGGTGGGCACATGACCCAGTCCCCCTCAGCTCATACAGTAATGGTAAGATAGACACACACATTTTATTTTTGGGATGGTGAGTATCTAAGGTGGCTGCTGACTTCAAGGACAATCTATGGGACACATACGAGACCACTGAATTCAGTGCCACCCTTCAAGGGGGCAGATATTTAGCTGGAACTCCTGGTTTTATCATTTATCTCCTGAGTTGGCTTAGTGTCTACCTAGGCTAAAAAAGACAGCATTGTTCTATCACTTACCAGCTTCATGTCCTTACCCCTTTTCAATTAAGCTATTGGACTTTACCTACAAAGGAACAACCTCGCACAGCAGTCAGGAGAGCAAGGCACAGGGCACAGTGACCCTGCAACTTTTACGCAAGCTCTTTTTCCAGTAGGTCCATTGCAACTATGTCAACCATCACTGAATACTAGCACCTCTCTCCTGAACATACTGAGCCAGTGAATGCGAGAGTCTTGTCAAGAGCTCACTGTGTCCTTAATGATCATGACACAGAAGACGTCACACTATGCCAAAACAGAGAAAAGGCACAACATCAGGGCTGCTAACTCCTGTTGTTTAACATGAAGAACAGGCTGCACAATGACCACGAGTTGTATTCTGCAGATCTTCAAGATCGTTGTAGAGAACCAGGTTGACAAGAGCCAACCCTAGGAAATAAACCCTATTTACTTCCTTCACTTGTCACATTCTCTTTTCTGCTAAACAAAGAACTGGTGGGGTTGCTGAGATGCCAGAGCCCACTTGACACAAGGGGATAAAAACTCGTGTCCTGAATTTCTTTACTGTAGAAAACAAAGGGAGATCTTGAGAATGTATCACATAATGTGGCAAGACCTTCCTTTGGCTCTGTAGCAACATCTAGCGCATGAATTGTCAAAAGAAAACATCTAGCTTATCATGTGGAAACTACCTACCAGCACCAAGTGTGTGCACACACACAACTTTCCTTACAATACCTGCTTTTACTGAGATAGCAAAGGTGTATGGAAGATGTATGGAAAGGTCCATGCAAAGGTCTTTTCACCCAGGAGAGTAGAACTCATAGCCAACATTGCCTATTAGAGTACGTGGGTCTGAGATCTGACCAGCTTTGAGGTGCACACCCCGGGCAGCAGCACATGATAGCCCAAGTACTTGTGTCCCTGACACCCAAGGGGGAGATCTGGATGGAGTTCCAGGCCCTTGTCATTGGTGTGGCCCAACCCTAGCTGTTGCAGGCATTTAGGGGATGAATCAGCAGATAGGAGATCTTTCTGTATCTCTGTCTGCCTTTCAAAGAAGCAAATAAAACTTCATAAAAAGATGAAAGATACTCACAAATGAATAAACCACATTTGCTAAGAGGACCTGCTTGTTCAAGTGTCTTAATGTTCACAACCAAGCCAGACATCAGTTGCAAGAGTTCATATAACAGCAGCAACAGTTTCTGTACCTAACTTGTTTTTAAGCCATTCCCAGCACACTGCTGAATACACTGAAAAATACAAGGATTACAACATCTGCTGAAATGAGAGTTTGTTTAAAAGACCAAATCCCTATAGGAGTGAGGAACGTTTCTGCGGAAATAGACAAGTGGTTCAGAAACAGCATGACGGTGGTTCTGGCTACATGGGCACGGTGCAGTGGGAGGTGGGAAGAAGAGTACCGTGGGGTTTAAGGATGGGCCCGGGCTTCTTATTACAAACGATCTGCAAGAAGGGGCTTGGGAACATCTCCCACCCTACAATCATGCTCTGCTCAGCTCTGCTGGCTGACAGTGCCAAATTCCAAAGACTGAAGGGATGAGGGGTGGAAACTGGGCTTCAACAGAGACAGACACATGATAGCAGTTAGAGAGTAATGCGAAAATATGGCAGGGACGACCAGCTCCACACTATCAGTTACATCACAGCTACAGAGGCATTTCACGGCTGCTGGGATGTATTTTATTTCTTTAAAATCACTGAGTATATGAACTGTAAAAATGGAGCGTGTCCTGAGCATGCATAGGAAAGTTGGTGGAGGATCTATTGTATGCCTGTGGCAGTACACACTGCAGGACGCTGTGTAACGTACATACCAGAAGCCCAGGGAGACAGACCCCAGGAGATGACTGTGGAAAAGCAGAGAAAATTACGCAGCTGATGAGGCTGGGGCTTAGAAGGAATTGGCTGGGATCTAAATCTAAGCTTGGCAATGCTGGCTCCCGGGTCCAATCCAGCTGGCTGCTGGTCCGTATAAATGAGGTTCTGTTGGAACCTGGCTGCGCTCCTTTATGTATCATTCGTAGCTAGTTTTGCACACAGCAGAGCTGTGTGGCTGCAACAGGGGGCTGCTGGCTTTGGACAGTTTCAAATATTTACTATCTGGGCTACATGTGGAAAAAGTTTGCTGATCCTTGAGCTAAGCTGTAAGTGACAAAAATCATACACAATGGTGCTTTGGAAATTAAAACGAGAAAACACTGGGGCAGAGAATAAATTCATGAAATGCATTACTCTAGAAGGCATCAGAAGCTTTATGAAGGCCTCAAGAACAGCTTTAGATCCATTTATGAATGACCTCTAAGTTCCTAAGGAAGACTCATATTTGAGAGAAAGAACCTTGTTTAATTTTTGGAGAGAGAAATAAGAACAGTTCCAGACAGCCTAAATTCTCGGACAGAGCAAGAGAATTTTGTTCCTCTGTGTGCCCTGGAGTTCTTATCAGAGATTAACGCCTGGACAGGAAGCAGCAGAAGTCTGGCCTGGAATGGCCTTTCTTGGCTCTCACCGCAACTGATTTCACCCAGACATACTCTGCAAGAGTAAAACACTGAATGTGTGCCTTCCTCCCCTATCACCATGGATGCCCTTTTCACTCTCAGCCCTAATAAGCAAAGTAAGGAGTGCTTGTAGAGCTAGCACCACCTCCAGATAGGACAAGACCTAAAGAATCCTGAGCCCTTTGGCCAGTTAGAAGGCCCAAGAATGAATGCAGAAGGAGAAGAAGGCTGTTTAATATCCTGGAACATGGTAGGTTCTCACAACCCTTGGTGACTGCTAGCTGGAGCAGGACCACCCTGGTAAGCTGGGATCAGTCAGTGTGTGTTGATTTCTCTGTCGGAGCAGCGCTGCATCATCTGCTCTCTGGCCTGAGAGATGCCACAGTCTGCATGCACCTGTGGTTTAAAAGTGGCTTCTCCACTCCCCCAGTCTGCAAGGCAGAACTCAAGCTGCAGAGGCGTTGTGGGTAATGGTTGGAGAACATCTGGGGCTAGAAAAGGGATTTCTTCTCAAAGATAAAAATGATGTACACATTTATTTATCACGGGGGCACGTGTTTATCCTAGCGGTTTGGACACTTCTGGCCCATGTCAGAGCACCTGCATTTGATCCCTGGCTCCAGCTCCTGATGAGCTTCCTGTTAACATGGACCCTCTCAAGCAGCAGTGGTGGCTCACGTAACTGTTTCCTACCACTTACATGGGAGACCCTGGAGTCCCAGTCCAGCTTCAGCCTGGGGAACGAACCAGCAAATAGCAGCTTGCTTTCTCCCTTTCTCTCTCTTTGCCTCTCAAACTAAATGCATGAAATAATAAACACATAAATAAATGACAAATTCTGTAATCACTTCAAATTCAGAAAAAGAAAAAAAAAAGTAGTTATGCTTGCTCAAAGGACTCCTTGTGTCACAAAAAAATATGCTCTGTGCATCCTTGTCCCAGCAGCAACTAGATTTGGCAAAATGAGATTTAGATATATAAACAGAATATTTTTGGTAATTAAGTTAACTGAGTGATTATACTAACCAAAGATGATTTCATTTTAAACATTTATCTACCATGTTTTTATAGGGGTGTCTCGATAAACTAACTTGATTTCCACAGTACTTTATTTACCACTTAGGTAAAATCCATGAAAATAACAAACTACAGATGGCGAGCCCAGTGTAAGCTATATCCAACACAGCATCACTCCATGCAAGATGAACTTTTTATGCGATGAAAGTGGAATATTTTTCCAAGTCCCCCAAAGGTCTCTTGGTCACAGTTTCTTACCTTTGCTGGAGGATTTGGCAATAGAGCTGGAGGTTCTGGCAGCCTGAGGAAGGTAAAATTTAGAATCACAGTCATGGTTTTTCATGGACAAGCAAACAGAATAACCAGGCTAATGCAAGATTTAGTGAGTCCTAATTTTCATTGTAGAGCTGTCCCACCATCTATCTCCACGGTTCAATCACCTCAGTGTGAAGAAGGAAACTCTAGATGAACAAATCTTCATTTTGTTACTTAACTCTCTCTGTCGGAATTGTCTGAACTAAAAAAGTAAAATTAGAACCCAATGTTGGAACTCAATCGATTTTCTTTGGCTTGCGTAAATTTGCATTTTGGCATTAGAGTACTTTATTTTCATAAATGAAAATGTGAGTTTACATTTTAAAGAGAAGACTATTTTGACAGTTGACAAAAAGCCACACCAAGTATCTCTTCTTCCATTAAGAGAAGTTTAACTGGCTTATCTTTCTTCCCAAATCTTTAGCCAAAACTTAAAAAATTTCCAGTCAGAAGAAAAGAGTGAATGTAAAGAGGAGCAGAAGGTAAAGACATATGGTGTCTAATCAGACCAGCGGTTAAGGAATCTGGGGAATGGGGCCAGCTCCGTGGCCCAGTGGATTAAGCCACTACCTACGATGCCAGTGCCACACTCCCCCACACAATGTGAGCACCAGTTCTTGCTGGCTGCTCCACTTCTGACCCAGCTCTCTGCTAACATAGCTAGCATCTGAGAAAGCAGTGGATGGCCCAAGTTCTTAGGCCCCTGCCATCTATATGGGAGACCCAGAGGGAGTTTCTGGTACCTGATTTAGACCTAGCCCAGCCCAGGCCACTGTAGCCATTTGGGGCAGTGAATGAAAGATTCTCTCTCGCTCTCAAAATTCTTTCCCAGTCCTCTCTTTTTCTCTCTCTTACACACATACATATACTTCCTCTCTCTTTCAAATAAATAAAACTAAGAAAAAAAATCAATGCCCGTGTAAGATCATCTCCAACCCTGAGTACAACCCTGGTACTCAGGAATAATCTGGTATCACAAACATGATAAGCTGTGAAGAAACCCCACTGCTGAGGAAATCAAGAAATCAAGAAATTCAAAGGCACAGGATGAATGGCACTTACTTCAAGTATTTAGATAAGTCATCACTTAATTCCTTAGGGATGTAATCGGATATCAGACCATGCGCATAGCGCAGATAATCCTCTGAAAGAAACAGAGTGAAAACGGAATGAGTTCAAGTTCCCACTCTGTGTAACTTTAGGGAATTCACTTAAACTCTAGTCTCAGTCTCTCTTTGTAAAATGAGGATAAAGCAGTTAGAGGAATAGAATGCTGGGATGGTTAAGACACGATATAGGATGAAATCAAAGACACACTATAACAGTAATCACAGACACCTGAGGCTGTGCTCAACATTGAAGCCCCTGAATACAAAGTTCAAAAATTCTGGGCCCAGCGTGGTAGCGTAGCAGGTAAAGTCCTCGCCTTGAACGTGCGAGGATCCCATATGGGTGCCAGCTCCCTGCTTATGGCCTGAGAACGCAGTGGAGGATGGCCCAAAGCCTTGGGACCCTGCACCTATCTGGGAGAGCTGGAAGAGGCTCCTGGCTCCTGGCTTCACATCCGTTCAGCACTGGCTATTGTCACTTGGAAAGTGAATCATCGGACGGGAGATCTTCCTCTCTGTCTGTCCTCCTCTCTGTATATCTAACTTTCCAATAAAAATAAATCTTTTTAAAAAATTCATACAACAACAGGAAGTATCCATGTCCTCTTTAAAGGCTAATATTGTCTAAGTGTGCTTCAACACAGGATAATCTCACCAATGGACAGTAATGGATGTGATCATTTTTAAGAGAAGTTAAGTATTACGCAGCAATGTCTTTTCCTGGTTTGCTTTTAAGATTCCTGAACAACAAAGAGAGAAAATTAAGTCAGTAGAATGTATAACCAATGATTTTTAGAGCATCCAGAGTCTCAGGGTTAAAATGCAACTCTGAGAGGTCAGGCTATAAACTAGTTCCCTGCCAACGACCTGGGAAAAGCCACGGAGGATGGCTCAGTGTTTGGGTTCCTGCCATCCACATGGGAGACACTGATGAAGCTCCTGCCAGCACTGGCCATCTGCGCAATGGACTAGCAGGTGGAAGATACTGCTGTCTGTGTCTCCATCTGTCTCTATGACTGTTCCCTTCGATTCAATCAATCAATACTTTTAGAAGAAGAAAATCCAAATTCGACATCAACTAAAGACAATAAAATCTCTCCGAATCTTTCTTAACTCAAAGTATTTTCCACAGAACAAAAAGCTATTCAAGCTTAATTAAAAAAAATGGGATAACTGTAGGGGATACAAAACGTCAAAAGCAGACCCTAAGTTTGTCTCTAAAATATTCATTCATTCACCTACTTTCTCCCTTTCTCCCCTGCCTTCAAGTTCGGGTAACAATTTGCTGCAGTACCACCTAGCAAGTGATGTTGTGATTTAAAATCACACACTCAGAGTTAGGACATGAGCTGCTGGGAATAAGATGCAGAGAGCTGCAGCCATAGGACCAGTGCATCAAGGTGCTGAGCCTGGAGTACAGGGCCAGGCAGGCTCTGCCACTCACCCATTTCTGTCATTTACTGGGGTGTCACTTAGGATAGAACCTTAACTCCCTTGGGACTTAGTAGGGACACAGATGACATGTCTGTATACCAACAAGTTTGCAAATGGCCTGCAAGCAACACATTCTTCATAAAAAACAGCCAGGCTGTTATGCTTTCTGTCACCATGACTGTAAAAGAATTACTGGCTGAATGAATCATTAACTTAGTGATGGAGTGATCAATAGTAGAATTACTTTTTGATTCTGAAATAACATGCACATTGCCCCCAATATCTATGAGGACCTGAGCAAGAATGTACATTCATGACATTCAGATTTTTAAATCCTAAGAAAATTACAGAGATTGGCATCGAGACTCAACTGGCTAATCCTCTGCCTGCAAATGCTGGCATTTGGTTGATGTTCTGGCTGTTCTACTTTCCATCCAGCTCTCTTTTATAGCCTGGGAAAGCAGTGGAGGATGGCCCAAAGTCTCGGAACCCTACATCAGTATGGGAGATCTGCAAGAGGCTCCTGGTTCCTGGCTTCAGGCCAGCCCAGTTCTGGCTGGTGCGGCCATGTGGGCAGTGAACTAGTGGACAGAAAATCTTTCTCTGTATATCTCCTCCTCTCTGTAAATCTGTCTTTCCAATAAAAATAAATAAATCTTTAAGGGAAAAAAAGTACTTATATACAATCAACTTAAATCTACACAGGAATCAATTGCAATAAAATGATTTATTTACCTTCACTGTCACTGGCAACTTGGTTACCAGAGAAAAATGCTGTTGATTGGACCCGGTTACCAACATTGATATTATTGGTTTTTAATGCAGCCTTAGTTTGATTCACCTGTAAAGTAAACCAATTGGGGAAAAAATCAGGATATAGACTAATCAAAAAATCCCAAGCTTGAGATCTTCTGAGCCCTAACATGACACTTCAGAGTGGAAAAATTAATACCTGGTCTCATGAAACAGGTCATAGCCAACACGCAGGGACACTCAAAAATACACATAATGACCTTCATGTTGTGTGTACAAGGGTACATGAACAGAGGGAATCAGATAGCTTATCCATGAGATATCTCTAATGTATATTATGCCATTTCAAAATCTGAAAACTTCCCAATCAAGAAACACTCTGGTAGCAAGCATTTTGGATAAGGCATGTTCAACCTGTGTTTTTGACTCGATTTCAGAAATCCAGGACTTCCCCAATGGCTTTCCATTCATCTCCAGTTGACAGTCTACAACAGCTTCACTAGATATCAGAAGATGGGAGCTGGGTACCCATCTGGAGACAGACTGAGTAGCAGCAATGTTTCTAGATGAGCTCAACACATGGATTTCTCAGAGTTATGCATTACGAGAAGCTGCATGGTGTGGGGCCTGAGAACACGACCTCCAAAGTCAGGATGCTTTGCTTTGGGTTGCTGTGACCACAGGCTGGTTACTTAACCTCTCTGAGCTTCTCTTTTAGAATTGGGCATACGATGGTACTTCAAAATGTTCATGGAGTAAATAAAATCAAGGGATAAATGAACTTTGGTGCAAAAACTTTTGGAATCCATGAGCAGAGGTACTTCAAAAAGTTCATGGAAAATGTGTTATAGAAAATCTTTACAATGGACTTAAAAAATTTTTTTTTGCAACAAAGTAATTTTATTTCATTGTTCTAAGAACTTTGTGGAATAACCTTGTAATACTTCCCTCTAAGGATTATTTCAAGGATTAAATGAGCTAATATACGCTAAAACCTTAAAAATATACACAAAGAAACATACACAAGTCTAAACAAACCAGGTAATATATATTTCTCACTTCCTGGGAAACACATGTATACATTTCATTCTGCTGTTCATATCCTTTTAATTTGCTAACAGCAAAAGTAATGCCAAGTTTTCATTCAAAACTTACACTTGTTCTCCTATACCAAGCACTATCACCATGTAAGATATGAAGAGCAGAACACAATGGCATCTCTCCAGGCTTTTCACTACTTTGTGCCTGAGCAGCCAATGAACTCCAAAGGCTGCATTTCCATGTTCCCAGGTCCCCCATGTGCCTGGTGGCGTGATATGACAAACAACGTGGTTTTCACATTTAGGCAGACAAGAATCCCAAGAAACTCACACACTCTAAGGAATGGTGCACACTAGTCTCACAAAAGCTTGTTATGAACAGATGGGGTTTAGTAAGAATCTTCGTCAATAGGTAAGTCTATGATATACTCAGGAGATTTCAAAGGTTGTGTTTCTTTTAAAACTACACCCACAGTAAGAAATATTAGGGTCCTGGGCAAGTTCATGGAAAAGATACATTACAACAAAACAATGCATGGATTTAGAAATACTTCTATCTTTTAATTTCATTTTCAACAAACTTTTTGAATACTTTTTGTATACAGGAATCCAATATACAAACACATACATGAAGTTATGTTTCATGGAGCCACAATGATTACTCACTTTCTGTGCTATCCTTCCCTAATCCATTTTATTTTACTTGGTTCTAAGAGAAACACCGGTTGTGACCAAGCACGTCCAGAGGGAGAACATCGGCCCACACCTGATATGACGTCAAAACTCCTGGAATTACTAAGACGCAGCGAGGCCCTCTCCAGAGTTGACCTAACTCTCCTGTGCATCTAGATACTCCACACAGAGACTGGGACACGACTCTTCCAAGTCCAAATGCCTTCTGCCTCTGATGCCTCATGGGGCTGGGGGTGAGCAACATCACCCTATGGGGAACACCCACAGGCCTGATGGCAGCAAAGAGCAAGGGTCCTGATAACATCTGGCTTGGGAAACTCCAACCTATGCCACCAAATAGCAAGAAACCAGAATCTTGTGTTAATTCATTGGTGGGACCAGGGGGAATTGATGCAGATCAAAAGAAAACACTGAGCTTAGTCTAGAGATAAAAGAAGTTAGGGAGGAGAAAAAGCTTAAGGTTCTTGTCGGCCTTGGCTGTCACCACACAGTTCTCCACTTTTCGTATGATATATACAATATTCTTTGAATTCAGACTTACTGCCCTATCCAAAAATATTGTTTTAAAGGCACACTACATTTGCTGTTACTACAAGGCACTAGAGTAGTGACATACCTTTTTTTCCAGCCACTTTAAGGTCTTCTCTTTGCTATATTTATAATATTTTCTGTTGTCTATTTCTGGATTAAATTAAAAGGGAAAAACAAAACTCAGTAAATGGGTTAAAAGACTGGACTCAAAAGGTTATATCACACACAAGTTGACAATTTAAAATTATTTCATAATAGTTTATACTCTTGAAAAACTCAATGTATAAACCTTAGAGCACACTTAAGATTACAAAACAAAAATCCCAAGCCAACCTCTGAACTCACCCAACCACTAAATTCGTGGGAATTTAAGAGAACCCTCAACTTATACAAAGCTTTGCAGAAAAAAAAGTAGTTTTCAAACTTCACCAAACTGACGTGCCAAGCGACTCTGATTTTTCCAAATAATTCTGAACTTACTTCAGTGTTTCCAGTGAAGATGATTTATTTCTAAAATAAAAATAGAAATCCCAAGAAAAAAAAATTGAAACTAAACACAGGTGCCTATGACATTTGCTGAACACATTTGGGGAAGAAAACCTTGTTCAGTACTGCCCTCATGGGGTTAATGGTGCATAAAAGATAGATTTGTCTTTTAATGCAGTACCAATAGGACTGCAGCCATTTCAGGGCAATTGAGATTTATGGTAGGCTCAACCTGGCCCTTTATGGGGATAAAAGCTTCACCTCTGATAAATTATACCTCCTCCCCTCTCAATCCACCCAGCTTTATGGCTCACATCATTAACCCTGGGTGTCCTCTTCACAATGTTTTCCACCCTAGGGTTTCTTCTGTCTGCAATTAGCAGAGGTGGCAATTCCACTCCAGCCACCTTCCTCCAGGCACGAGTTTTTTGTTTTTGTTTTCTTCTTCTTTATTTTTCTTTAAAACAACTTTGCTTCAACCAAGAGAAAAGCCTCCTATCTGCTGGCCAGAGAGAGGATAGTAAATGCTGGGCTCCAGATGGGAATTGGGGGCCATTCCCAGCTGCCTCCCAGTGGACAGTATTAGCTGGAATACAGAACTAAGTCCCAGCATCTCGGAGCCCAGGCATTCAAGACACGGTTTACCCACTGACCCCAGATGCCCACACAAGTGACCTTAACAGCTGACTTACACTATTTACTCAGATTATACATTCAGCAGACTGCTATTCCACTGACTCCAACTCATGCCAGTCTCAACACTTCTAATCTTCTCTGGGTATCGAGTGGCCACAAAATTGAAGGCTTGGATGTGCCCTTCAGCAGCCCCGGGCTACCTTGAGCTTGCCATTCCCATGCCCATCGTGGGTCTGCCAAAGCAGTTCCAGGGTGAAAGGGGCCAGGGTCAATTCCCACCCCTTATTCTTCCCCTGATTTGGTGTCAGGTTCAGGCTTCCAGGATTCCTTGGGGCTAGGATTCCAGGAATTTTCCAAAGCATCACATTAATGTCCACAGCAGTACTGAGCCATTACCTCAGCACCTTAGAAAAGCTCTTTGGGTTAAGAATTATGACCCTCATAGTAGGGTAGGACCCTAGGTGGCCCTGCCCAACCTTAACCAGATCCAGCTATTCTATGTTAGCATTTATGCAACACCATGAACATGCTCACTCTTAATTCTTAGTCCAGTTGACATGCTGATTTGTGCAACTCTAGCAGCTAAGAGGGTCAATAGCTGAAGACTCGGTAGGGCTGCCCAGGGGGTACAAAGTGCATGCCCAGATCTGCAGGATGGGCTGTAAGCTATGGGGAGGGTGAGGGATGGCAATCCTGGTGAAACTCCTTGATGATGATTGGAGACCTGGCAATTGGGCACATGCTCACCATGTCCAAGTGAAAAAAGGGACGCTTTCCCTTCCCCACTAGAGAGGGAAAGGAAACTGCTTATGTAGAGATAGTGCAAGGGACAGGGGCTGGGAGGACCCAGTCACCACATCTGTTCTTCCGTCTTATTTTAGGTTGTGGCCATCAACCCTGGTGGGCTGGATGGGGTAGGGTGGAGTGTGGCTGGCCCTCTGCACCCATCTGCTCAGGACAGCTGGAGTCACACGGAGGGACAGCTGTGAGTGGCCTGCAGTCAGAAGTGTGAGAACGTCTGCTCTCCAGCCCCCTCGGAAGACAGCCTACTGGAGAAGCAAGGTCATTAAGACTGGACACAACTCCTAGGTGCAAGTCAGAGGCATTTTGAGAGTCCATAACAATCAACGAAAAGACATGCCATGCACTGGCTGGTAGAAGTTCCATTTACCTTCTAACACCAAGAATCTACAAACACCTCAGTACTCAAGTCTCTCCTAAAAACTACACTCCAGGCCTCTGGCTCATTTCTCTTTTGCACATATCCCCAAATCCCTCAAAGAATATCCACAGTTCACCACAGCTTTGCTGCCTGAGCCCTCGGGCAGGCGTCCAGCAGCTCCCTTAGGCAAACTCTCTCAGGAGAGGTGGAGAGCCTGCCCGAGTCATCGTGCCCAGGCTCAGGCACACCCTGCCATGCACTGCCAACTCAGGAAATCAGCTCCTTCCTCAAGTCTACAAGCTCCTTTCTCCAGGGACGTGCAGCACGGTGATGCAGATCAAGCCTACAGCAGCAGTCAGACAGACGGCATACAATCACAATCTTAAGAAAAACGACAATGTGACAATTTGTTAATAACCATTCCCCCACCCTGACCCCACCGAAATCATGTTTTCTCAGCCCTGAGCTCAGTATTTTGCATATACTTTTTTCACTGAATGAACAGAAGGAATCTCAAGTGAAAAGCATTGTTTGTGCCCATCTTAGGACACCACCTGTGAAGAGCATTATGCAAATTGCCCAAAGTCACTGGATGGTTAAACAGGAGCACCGGTATTCCTGCCCAAGCTGACTCAAACCCACAGATGTGAGCTCCATTTTTCTCAGACCAACGAAGCCCATGCCTTCCGCAGTACTTCTGATCAGCCCTTCCTTATGTGGAAACCACCGTCCTGGCACAGCATCTGCAAAGCTACCTTCTTTCTGTGTTTCTCAACCTCTGATGACTTTTTGGCTTCTCTTCCCAGCTTCGCTGTTCCTTCCTCCAAGACGTTCCTCCTGGCGACCTCAACCTGATTCCAAAAGACTCAATAAACTCACAAGAGAAGCCTGCAAACCCTTAGCTGAGGAACAGTGTGTCTAAACTCAAATGGTGTGTTATCCTCCCAAGCCACCCTCCTGGCTAGCCAGGCTTGAACCTTGGAGAAGGTCCTTCCTGAACTCTCAGGTCAGTAGCTCTTCATTGTTAATGAGCAGAAACATTATTCTTGGCTTATTGATCATGTGTGCTGATGCTTCACTGATTAGTTTCAGCAACTTTTTAAAAGGATTTCTTTGACTTTTTTTTTTACAACATTATCTATGAATACAGATATTTTTATTATTGGCTTTCCAAGCTGTACGTGTTTTTTCTCTTGTCTTGATGAACCTGCTGCATCCTTGTCTGTTTCCCAATTTTGGGGAAAACAGGTGTTCATCTTACAGGGCAGATGATGTTGGTTGCAGTTTGCTCAAGATGCCTTTGCCAGATAGAGGAAGTTCCCTTCAATGTCTAATTTGCTGAGAATTTATATTATGTTCAGATTTTAGACAAACAATTTTTATGTCTATTGAGATGATCATGCAGGTGTTTGGGGTAGTATGTTAACAGAGTGAAATTTATCGATCTATTTTGTAGTGATGAACTAAATTTGTGTTCTTTGTCTTTACATAATTGATTCTCATATAGTTGATTTTTCTAATATTCTATTAAGGATTGTTTTGATCCTTGATCATGAAGGGACATGGGCCTCATTTTCTTTTCATAATAATGTTGATCTTGGTACTGGCAACAGCAATTTCATAAATTTCCTGCCTCATCTGCTTCATAAAAGAATATGGAGTATTATTTTTATTAATATTACTTCTCCTTTAAAATACAATGGAATTCACCAATGAAGTCAAAGTGATCCTGGACTTTACCTTCCAGGAGATTTTAAAATTATGAATTCATTTCTCTAATAAGTCCTGCCTTGGACAAGACAATCACTAATCCCCAAATGCTACACAAGGGTAGAACATACAGACTGCCGCTCAGGTTTGAAATTTACAAATTTCAAAGAGGTTTAAAATATTCACAAAGAGCCACAAACTACACATAATTATGAAAAATACCACTGCCTGTTCATCTGAGTCCTAAATTTAATATTTGGGAGAGTTAGTGAGCTAGATAATATGTCCATATGCTGGAAAAGGTTTTTTCCCTTATGTGTCTGGTGCCTATAAAACTGGGTTCAAACATCTGGAAAGATTGGATTTAGAAAATAAAGATGGAATAAAAGTAAGTCCACAATTAAATAACAGGTTCAACCATTGGGTAATCAGTTCACAAACTTGAATTTCCCTGATGTATTGTTGAACAAACTGCCTCAAGCACATTTTCACGTCTACTTTCTCAATGTTTTCCATAACCGAGAAACTCATACAGTCTCTTTTTTCCCTTGCCTCGTGGGGACAGAAACTTGGCAATTGCACTTGGGGTGTTTTAATCAGGTAAGTTTTCCTGGTCCCTCCTGTTAATCACATCAGACAGCGCAGCAGTGTAGCTTTGGCTTGCAACAAGAAACAGAATGTTACATTCAAGATAAAGTTCATGACCCTTTATTAGCCCTTTCCCGTGTCATCTCTCCACTGAATTTGAGCTTCTTTGGCAAGAAACAGGCTCAGGCCCCAGAGCTAGCAAGCAGAGACACATCATTTCCATCGGTAATAAAGCAGGCTGGGGCTAAGGTCATGGCTATCATCATTCAGGGTACAAATAACTGTGGCTGGGTCGCTCCATCAGGGAGAACGGGAGAAGGTATGGTTCCCACAAAACCTAGAAGATTTAAGCAGATCTTGAAAGCCACAAATATTTGAGACAGCATGCAGAGTTAATCATCAAAATAGCTGTCCGGAGACTTTGCGTATTTCAGGCTATTCTCTTTCTGCACTAGTGTCTGTGGAAAGGATGGAAGTTAAAGAAAATCTACTTTCTTCACTTTTGTTCCCTGTCATGCACGCTACCTGACCACTAAATTAGCAGTCTGTTTTTAAAGAAATCTAGGAAGGGTAGGTGTTTGGCAGAGAGGTTTAGATAATACTTGAGATGCTTGTGTCTCGCACTGGAGTGCTTGGGTTTGAATCCTGGCTGAACTCCCAGTTCCAGCATCCTGCTGATGTGTGCCCTGGAAGGCACCAAGTGATGAATCGAGCACTTGAGTCTCTGCAACCTACATGAAGAGACCGAGACGGTGTTTTGGGGTCGGAGTTTTCACCTGTTTGAGCCCAGGCTGTTGTGGGCATTTAGGGAGTGACTCAGGGGATGCACGAGCTCTCGCTTTCAAATAAATAAGTTAAAAAAGAAAAAAGATTGTTGAAAAATCTGTAAGTCAACTGCACAGAATGATACTAACACTAATTTATTAGTGGCTTAGTAACCCAAATCCCAATAACAGCCAATGCCTTATATAATCATTGAAAGTTAACTCAAGGTAATACGGGCACTGAAAATTCTAAAAACTTCAGTGAAGGAGTGAGGAGTGCCTTTCTCTCTCATTATCAAAGTCCTTTCCTTCTTCTTTTTTTCTGTCTCCTTGTTTTTCACTAAACAAGGGAGTTCAGAGGGGATATGTATGATATATGTATATATATATGTATCATACACATATATGATATATATGATCGAAAGAAAATCAAGCTTCTATTTCAGCTTGGGACATGCCTAAAAAACCCAGAGCACCTCATTGGTATCCCACAGCAGCGAGAAGGAAGGAGATATGCCAGGGTCAGAGACATGAGTTCAAATCTGGATTCTACCACTTTAAATTCTGTAATGTAAATCAATTTACTTGCTTTTCTTTCTTTCTTTCCCTCCACCCCCTTTTTTTTTTTTGGCAATTTACACTTGCAAAAATATAAGTTCTACCAACAATGAAAGAACATCACAGTACAGACAAAATACTGCAACTCACTGTGTGTCTTACACATATCTACTTTGACAGGCTCTGATAACCAGTTGTAAACTTCAGAATGCTGAGCCTTCCCCTGTGGATCTTCTTGGAAAAAGTTGTCAGTCTCTGTACATTGACCTTGCACACAAACCTTACATAAAGAAAGATATTCCACATAGTTCTGTACAGCAAGAACAGAATGACTTAAGTGGATTTTGATGAGGAGGCCTTTTTAAGGATGAGGCATAAGAAATTTTTTAACTCCTTTTATTCTGCATTTTTAAATGTCCTGGTTTTATTTTAAAACCTTCTCTTATTTCAAGATTTATAGGCTACAGGTTATTAAGAAAAGAATTTCATGAAGAAAAGTGCCAAGTGTTTTACTATATATAAATCTGCAATAATCTGTTTTGTCTTATTATCAATAAAAAAAAAAAAGGGAATGAAAAATGTGAGGTCTGGGCTTTAGAACCTGGTATTTCGAAGTTCCTAATGTAACTACTTTGAAAACAGAAGGCCAGATCTTCCAAAAGTCAGGCAATGTGGAGAAGGGAAGGAGATGAGAACACAAGTTCATGTGATTACACAGCGAGTGGTCAAGGGCTCTGTGCACACGATGGAAAGCAAGGGAGTGAGCAAACGCCCAGCCATTAGCTCACTACTGGGATCTGGGTTTCTGGATCCTGCTCTAAGCTGACTGTTCTGACACTGTCAACAGCAGTGCTGGCTCAGCATAAAAGCTAACAACGTTTTAAAGTTTTTAATTGAGTTGATAAAAATTAAACTTGCAATTATTTGTTATTTTAGCTTTCATAGTTGGTTATAAGCTACTTCATTTGTTACCCACAAAAGGATTGATAGTTCCTGGAATATTCAGCATCAGGGAATGTCTTCGAACGGGACTGCTCTATTCTAACATTGGCACCGTATATACCTCAGAGATCCAAGCTGGAACTCCCAGTGTGGCTACATAATTAGCTGAGCCCTCAACGTGAAATGTAACTCAGTGAACCAAGGAGATTCTCCCTGTCCCACCATGAGCTCATACTTTTTTAGGTCCCAGAACTGTCATACTTGGCCACACTACCTACAACCCAGGCTATGCTTACAATTAACCCATTAAACTACCCAGATGAGGTTTTTAGACACTGGTGCTCAGTTTGTATAGCATCCCTAGCCTGTCAAGACACAGTCACACACCACTGTCTCCCTTCCAAGTGCAATTAATACCAAAATCCCACCTTTTCATTCCTCCAGCTGCACTTTTAACAACCACTCTCCTTACTCCCTCCCCGCCTCTCCACTCCCTGACTTCAGGAGGCCATCACTGTATTGCTTCAGGCCCAAGGCCCAAGTCTGGAAGTCATGCATGACATCTCCTTCTCTTTGATACTGTGCATCATCAGCTGTGAGTGGAACTACCTCCAAGTGCTGACTTCCTTCCATTTCTGTCACCTAAGTTTCAGCTTGTGTCTAGATCAGTGTACCAACCTTGGGTACCTAGGCACCTGGCCTTGGTACTATTGCACTAACTTGCTCAAAGCTTCATGGATATACCTCTTTTTTGGGGGGGTCAAGTCCTTTACCATCTAGATCCTCATCTTGCTGTCTTACCTCATTGCTTACCAATCTACTATTACCTCATTGCTTATCAATCTACTTTCCTCCCCAGAATCCTACATTCTCGCTATGCTGAACTCTTCGGAACTTCCTAAGCATGACAAACTTTCACAACCCTCCAGGACTCCACTAAGAGGTCATTTCCCTGTCCTCTCTGCCCCACTAGGAAAGCTACACAATGCTTCCCATCTACCATGTAACCCAGGCCTGTCCTGTCCATTCCTAGAAAATCCAGGGTTCACTTCCGTTACACTGTTTTGTCAACACAATTTTTGGCATTTAATCCCATCATATTTGAAACAAAGTGAGAGAATGGACTCCCTCTATTCTAAGTACCCCCAAACCATAGTGCCTAGTGCCCATTTTCAACACATGTTCCCTAAGTTAGTAGGTCCTCCATGAACACTCGTGTCAATAGTAGCATAGGTCTCATGTCATCATGCAAATGCAAAATCTGAGGCAGGAAGCAGCTAAGTTACTTGCCCCAAGTCACGGAAACTAGTTCAAAGAGGAACTGAGCCATAAGCCATATGTTGGGCTCCTACCCCCAGGAAGAGACAACCAGACAGCACTGGTTGCAGGTTCAGACACTGAACCATCCAAGGTGAATGAGATACAGTGCTGGCAGGTGGAAACCAGCCTCAGTGAGACAGAATAAGCACCATGGTCAGTTGGCCCAATGCAACCATATTTGCAAATCAGTGTACAGTCTCCCTTCCCAGCTGTGGCCTGGCTTCACTGACCCACAGCCCCTACCTTTCTCTTCAGTCACATGGCGAAGTAGCTTCTCCAGTTCTGGAAGTTTCAGCAATAAGACACAATCTGGGTATATGTCATCCACCACAACTTGAGCCAGGGGCTGAAACTTTCCCTGAAAAGACACTTGGGTTGGTCAGAAGGCAGATGCTGCAGGTGGTGAGCACATAGGGATGAGAAGCAGGTCTCTGACCTTTACACTTAGTTTGAAGCTGCTTTTCTTCTAAGGAGTCCCTGACTTGGGGCAGGATCCACATCTCTTCTGTTGTGCCCACTGAAAGGAAGTGCTAGAAAACACCAGGGCCCCAAGCATCCCAGCCTCTATTCAGGGAGTGAGTCACTCATGGGGCAGGGATACAATTCCAGAAAAATGCTAAGAAAGCCCAGAAATGCACAAAGCAGGTAGAAGTTGCCTGGGGCTGGGCTGACCACACCACTGGAAGATGAATCTGCTGTGGTCACACAGCAAGTGTCTCACCCATCATCAACAAGCCTGGGGCCCCTGCAGAGTGGCCGAGAATGGATTCCTGCCTCCAGTCTTCATTCCAAGGCAAGATGATGCTCCAAACTTCAGACCAGAATCAGATAGCGAAAGGAGACTGCCTGCACAGAGGCTGTCAGGCTCCGCCAGGTAAACTCACCAGAGGAAGCTGGCTAAGAGGCCGGAACATCACTCCTCTCTGTTAGCTTTAGCTTTCCTTAACTGTTGCTAACATCATTTCCCTGATGGGGACACACACAGGCTCTGACCAGGTTTCACTTTAGCTCGGTGCTACTTTTTTGTTCCAGTGACTACCCTTTCTTAAGAGGGAAACCACTTCCGGTCAGCTCTCGTATTGAAAAAAAAAATACAGCTTTCTTTGTTTTGAAGGGGCACAGCTTCTCATTCATGGGGTAGCACACATACCAGCTAATCCAACTGTTCTATTAGGGTAACAAATGGTAAGAAATGTCTCAATTTACTTGTTTTCCTTTTCCTTCAAATCACAGATTTCCCAAGCCTTACTGACTTCAGATTTCTACCTTTGGTCTATTTCTTCTACAATCCAAAATATTTGTAACATTTCTGTCTTATGCAGAGAGACAGAGAATGAGAACCAAAACAGGGAAAGACAGACATCTGTCCATTAGTTCACATCCCAAATGCTTCTTACATCTGAAGCTGGGCCAGGCTGAAGTGAAGAGCTAGAAACTCTATTAGGGTCTCCCAGGTCAGTGAAGGCTCAAGTGCTTCAGCCATCACTGCTGTTCCCTGGGGTGTGCCTTTGTAGGAAGCAGGAGTCAGAAGTGGAGCTGGGCTCAAACCCTGGCATTCTGATTTGTGAAGTAGTATACCAAGTAGCATCTTAACAGATGTACCAAACACACACTCCTATTCATTAGTTTTAAACAACACTCTAACTATGTGTAAGTCATATATGCCATGGCAGAAAATAACCCCATAAACAATCAGCATTCCCTTGAGCAAGTGCAGCAAGCAACTTGCTTTGAAGATAAAATTAACAACAGTTGGGATGGCTAGAATGAAGAGTTACTTTTACTGATGTTAAAATAAATCCCGTGACTCAAAGAGAGCAGGTCAAATATCAAAAGTGGATGCCAACTTTTTAACTAAATAGGAAATGACCATGTCTAAAATGCAGGAAACAGATGAACATCTTGTGTGTTACTGTAAAGGTTATCTTTAGTGTTAGAGAAATTACGATTGCTTAATAGGAAAATCAGCCACCTCCCTTGCACTTCCGCTCCATTCTGCAGCTGTCCACTGAAGCCTGCAGAGGGCCACATGTCCGAAGGAGTCCAAATACTGGCCATTCTTGGCCAATTCCCAGGTGCATTAATGGGCAGCTGGACAGGTACTAGAAGGACACAAGTTTCCGTAATGGGAATCCACATGCAGGGCCACAGTAGTGGCACTGAAGGTCCATTCTTAGTACAAGTACAAGTCAGACCAATGGATCTTTATGTAACAGAATATTCAAGGTACACTAACAAGGTTTCCAATCCCACCATCCAACAAATCCATTAAAAAAAAGAAACCCGCCCTTTGTTGACTTTTGAAGGGAGAAGTATCAAAGAAGAAATCTAGAATTATGGAACAAAGCTGTTGTTGCATTCCTGTACTTAGTAACTAGAAAACTGTGTGAGGCCACACATTCCTCACACATTTACCAAAACAATATATAGAAACAGACCCAGTGCAGCACCAGGCCTGAGGAACAAGTTGTCTTTGTGAAGCTAAACATTAAAGAGATGCCCACAAATGCAAAATGCCACATGCCTCACTGAATCTGGATATTGCATTAAACATATGTTATTTATGCTAACATGAAACAGGGTTATGATTTGTAGTTTAAAAAAGACAAATGGAGCCTGGCATGGTAGCCTAGCAGCTTAAGCCCTAGCCTTGAAAGCACCAGGATTCCATATGTGCACCAGTTCTAATCCCAGTGGTCCTTCTTCCCATCCAGCCTGTGGCTTGGGAAAACAGTCAAGGATGGCCCAAAGCCTTGGGATCCTGCACCCATGTGGGAGACCTGGAAGAAGCCCCTGGCTCCTGGCTTCAGATCGGCTCAGCTTTGTCTGTTGCGGCCACTTGGGGAGTGAAATCAACGGACAGAAGATCTTCCTGTCTGTCTCTCCCACTCTGTATGTAGAGCTGAAATCAAAATGGAGTAAACATGGCTCATTGCTAACTACAATACTTTTGGCTTTTGTTAACCTCTGCTTTGCTTGCTTGGCTAAGAAACTGTGAGCTCGCAGGCCTAATGGCCTACTGACCTTTAGTGCTGATGGCCCTCAATCCCCATGGAGTAAGGCCCAGCCTAATTAACCCACAGGTGGCACCTGGGCTGGAGTCCAGACCAGAGCAGAGTCAGGCAGGGGCTGCCCAGCTGAGATAAGCAGGGAATGTGTGGCCTTTCCTCCCTCATCTTGCAAGCTATTGTAAACTGCCCCTACAAAACCCTGTGAATGTGCCATTTGGGGCCGCACTTCGGTAAGCGATGCTGGTCCCGGCTGGGACATGCTTCTCATTGTGATAAAACTTTGTTGTGACTGTCACTGGTGAATGTAACTTTCTGTTTTAGCAATCAAGTGGATGTAACATGTATATATGACTTTCCAAAAAAAAAAAGACAAATGCATTTTTAATTTCTCTCTCTTTTTTTTAAATTTACTTAGGAGACAGAGAGAGAGGGGAAGGACTCCATTGTTTTGCTCCCCAGATGCCAATGATAGTGGGGGCTGGGTTAAGGCTGGGGAAGGAAATCAGGAAATCAGTCCAGATATTCTTTGTGGGTACGGGGCAGACAAAAGTGTCAGCCATCTCCGCTGCCTTGGAAGGTTAGTGTTAGCGAGCAACTAGAGTCAAGGGCAGGAGCCTTGAATTAGAACCAAGGATTACTACATGAGATTCAGGATAAATGCTTGTTCTTAGCCACCAGGCTAAACACCTGTTCCCTCTCAATCTAAGACAGACTTAAAAGTAGCAACTGTCTTCGCGAGCCCTTTTCCAACCTCACTGAGAGTCAGGTGGCTGAGCCGCCAGGGGCCTGTCCAGGCCACAAGCAAGGAAGATGAAGGTGAGGGCTCTCTGGCGCTGACCCAGGAACATATGTGATACACGTGGCCTACAATCACCAAATTATATCAGAGGTGTGGGGAGAGTACATATGGATGAGTCAAAGGACAGAAGAATATCAAGCAAACAATGAACAGTCTGTCTGCTCCCTGTAAACCACCCCAACTGGAAAACTTACCTCTTTATCTGCCTTCATGAGGTAGTGCAGCAGCAGAAATAGAGGGTCCATGGGCGTGGCAAAGTGGAGAAGACCTCCTATGTATTAGAAGAGGACACAGGAATTAAACACCTTGGCAAGACAACTTAGTTGCTTCACTTTCATTGCAATGTGGAAGCCATGTGTTGAGATTCCAAAAAAGAACATCTTTGCATATACAGGTCTGAGAGTCCAGGTGACACTAACAAAAGACAGATCACATGGCTTGAGATTTCACCCAAAGAGCTCTAAATCCTTGGATGGAGAGGACAGCCAAGACCTTGCAACTGACCACTGGGGCAGGCACTTGGACTAGCAGTTAAAAAACACTGATTAACCTACTTGTAACGCATACAGCAGTGCCTGGGCTCAGTACCCAGATTGAGCTCTTGACTCTTTCTGCCAATGCAGATGCTGGGAAGCAGTGGGTAATGGCTCAAGCAGCTGGATCCCTGCACCAATATGGGGACTCTGTGTTGTGTTCCTGGCTATGGCCCTGCCCTGGCCCAGCCCCAGCCTCAACCATTGCTGGCCTCTGAGAAACAAACCAGTAAGTGGGAGCAGCATCTTTGTCTCTCTCCCTTTCTCTCTCTAATAAGTAACAATAATAAAAATCAACAAAAGGAAGTGATTCTTTGTATTTTCACGTCTTCCTTAGAATTCATTTTTAAAGAGCTTCCTGCCACCTCTCAAAAGGGTAGGGTTTTTGGGGAAGCAGGGAAGATGAACCCAGCAAAACAACCAGAAGTCAGTGTTAAGGTGTCTACCTACACAACCACATTACACGCAATGTCCTGAGCACGTGGGTCCACAGTGCCAGTGCCGATGACTCAGTGTCTAGGTTGGTGGTTAACGGAACCTCATACCAAGCCCAATCCTGTAAGTATAATTAAGGCAGGAGAGCAGTGTTAAGCCTAACAAGACTGAGCAAACATAAGCCCCGAACTGCTGCAGGATGTAACGGGCCTCCGAGGCAGCTGGCGCGAAAGGCAAATGGAGGTGATCTACCTGCGTCCCACTTGTCTGTCCTCTGTGGAATTCTCCTCCAGGCATCTCAGATCTACCCAAAGAAGTGAACCACAAGAGGGATTTTTGTAAGATGAAAAGATGAATGATTCTTCTACCCTCTCCAAAGCATATTATTTTGATTCCAGGGGAAAAAAATTGCACAATTGGCTTTACAAAGTCCAGGGTTCCTGAATCCATGGATTCAACCAATCACAGCTTGAAAATATTAGGCAGACTAATAAACATGGACACTGTTTTCCTTTAATATTATTCCCTAAATAATACAGTATGCAAGGGTCTTCAATTACAGAAGGAGCTGGTGTTATGGCACAGTGAGCTAGGCAGTGGCCTGGAATGCAGGCATCTATACGAGAGCTGCTGACTTCTACTTGACCTGTCCTGGGAGTTGAAGCCATTTACAAAGTGAACCGGCAGATGAAAGCTCTCCCTCTTTCTCTAATTTAGATTTTCAAATTAAAAATTAAAAAAAAAAAATCTTATGAAAAAAAACTTGCATACATTTCAATACTTTCTGAAACACATTTTTTACAAATCATTTCCCTTCTCTTTGAAAGGCAGAGAGACAGAGAAAGTGGGTTCTTCTACCTGCTGGCTTGCCCCTCAAACACCTATAAACAAGGCTGGGGGGTCAGACTGAAACCAGCAGCCTGACCTCAGTTTGTATCTGCAGGTGGGTGACAGGATCTCAACTACCTGAGCTATCATCTGCCACATCCCACAGTGCACATTAGCAGGAAGTCCGAATCTGACGTAGACTGAGGGCTTGAATCCAAGCACTTTAAATGGGATGCAGCATTGAAAGTGACATCTTTCACTGCTGTCCCAAACAGGCACCCATTCAACTTACCTTTAACTCCCACTTCCCATTAAGCTTTTGAAGTAGCTGAGTAATAACTACCTACACACAACATATCTAAACATCTAGACATGTACATAGGATGTATGCACATACTATGCCATTTCAAAGAAGTGACTTGAGCATCCTTGGATTTTGGGGAGTTCCTGGAAACAAATCCCTATCCAAACATAAACAAATTTATTTTCTAAGCAACCAATTTTACAGTTAGGAAATGCTAACCCTACATTATATTATGCATGCATCCATTTCATAGTAAGCAAACAATAATAAGTAATTTCACCTTGATAGCACTGAATTATTTTTAACAGGTATATGAAAATGCCTCACAGAAGCTCGAAGTTCATTTTTTAGGATGCATATATCTTCAGAAATTAGAAATGTTTTTCTAGCTCAAGAAACAATACCCTGGAGGTTATTCTTAAGATCAGCTCTTATGGGTTAAGTTAAAATAGAAGACAATGCTTAAAAAAAAAAAAGTAAGTACTTCCACTGTGAAGACTTCTCTAAAAATTAAATTCTGTGTTTTCAAATGACAGGGACCAACTCAAACATTCCAGAACAGACAATCAATCCCTGCCTCCCAATATTTCTCAGCTTCCATCTGGTTATTTCTGTGTCTTTCTAGCTGTATGCAGATGCAATACTGTCACAGGAGAAGCTGTGACCCTCACAGACTGCCCAGGGCTGCAGGCAGATGGCAACAATAATGAGAACCAATCTATGCTTCTCCCCTACCTGGCTGGACCCAGGTTGCCACTGCGTTTGGAGGTGGAGCATCCCTCAAGGTTCTCATGCATACATATACACAGAATTCACCATGAGCGATAAATGCTTCTCCTGGAATGTTGTAGAAGGCAGGCAAGCGGTAACACAGAGAGCCAACAGACAGCCAAAGGCCTAGGCAGAAACAGAAAGCACTTACAGGAAACCATGAGAGCGTGGGCAGAGGGCAGGTGCAGAACCTCCAACAGCTGCTCAGCACCTGGCCCCCACAAATCTTGGAACTTAAGAACAGGGTCAGGCGGGATCCTTCTCCCATCTGAGGCCAGAACTTCAATGGAGGTAGGAGGAATTCACATGGCAAAGAATCAATAAAGCCCTACCTTCTATTTTTCTACCATATTTTAGAAGCTATAAGAGTATCCACTTTAATATTTTAACAGGTTTTTTCTGTTCTTAAATATTTACTTTCATTTGAAAAATTTTACAGAGAAGCAGAGACACAGTCTTCCACCCACTGGTTTACTTCTGAAATGCTGTCAATCTGATGCTAAGTCAATCTGAAGCCAGGAGCCAGGAGCCTCTTCTGGGTCTCCGATATGGGTGCAGGGTCCTAAGCCTCTGGGCCATCCTCTACTGCTTTCCCAGGCCATAAACAAGCAGCTGGATCAAAGTGGAGCAGCTAGAGTTGGAACCAGCACACATATGGGATGCTGGCACTGCAGGCTGAGGATTAGCCACTGCCCCAGCCCCATATATCAGAATCCTTCAAACTTGCAGATCTTTTAAGAAAGAGTCCCTAGTCAACACAACAGTCCAAAGATAATCAAACTTCTGAATGAAAATGTGTGGGTGTTTTAGGAGGTCAAGGACAGAGGTTACCTTTGATGGCAGGAAATTTTAAACATTCAGTTCCTACCTGGACTCAGTCCTCAAATCATCTTTCCCTTCTCCTTGATTAAACCCTGCTGTGATGTGAAGGACAGCTGAACCACTGACTGGATTCCAAAGCAGCGGACACTCCCATAGCTCCATGTGTGAAGGATGACAAACCCCGATTGTGTGTTTAGCTAATGGAAATATATACAGTTAGTCACTCACCTGATTGAACTGATTGATTTATAAACCAAGAATGGTGTTTCTCCTTGAAAACTTTGATTTCAAACAGCTGCTGCAGACACATATTGAACAAGTACATGGCTCCTTCCCCTGTAAAAACAAATCTGCTTTTTATTTGCAGGTTTTCTCTATCACACACACACACACACACACACACACATCAAAAGACTACCCAAGAGTTCTGAGGAATGTTCCTAATATGAACATAAACATACATAAATGCACTCTACACAAACTGACTCCAAGGAAAGCTTATAGCTATTATACACATGCTTGTTTTCCAGCTCTGTAATCCTCATTGAACTTAAACCAAAGAATTCAAAAGTGCAAGTCATTTATCTTAACTGCTACAAGGCCTCTCATCAAATCCTCCATCAAATCAGGGGTGAAAGCCCATTCCTAAACTATCAAGACCTAATGCTCCAGCCAGATGATCTGAGCTGGCACATGGGACCCTGTCTCCAAGGCATCATGAGGCTCCCCACACTTGGGAATAAAAGGAGGACCAAGGCCAACTCCAGTGAAAAAGGCACAGCTTTACACCGTAGAGGCCAAATGCTTGCCCCATTCAACTGCAGGGATTCCTTTTTTTTTTCCCTTGGTGTAATAAAGGAAAGGATACACGAGTGGTGGAAATGTATGCCCACCTGCACATTCTATCTCTACAACCCGCAGATGTTTTCTTTCCCCAACCAAAGCGCAATCCCTGGAGTCAAGGATGGTAAGACTGAATCGTATCTCTACCACATGTGCCCTTGGGGAAGTTACATAACCCTTTCTGTGCCCTGTTTCCTCAACGGTAAAATGAGGGTAATAGCAAACCTACAGATAGAGTTTTCTAAGGGTTTACGGACAGAATATATATCTATTCATTTAAACAACTTCTGGCATATAGCAAATGCTCACCAAATACTAGACTTAAGTTGTTCAACTCTAATACGCCAAGCAGCATTTCTTTCTCTGATGTCTGTGAATATTGAGATAGAGATTTTGGAAGGATATTGTGGCTGGCTTTCCCTTCTATCCATATGTGTTAAATGCTCCAGAATTTTTCTGCTACCTAAAAGTTTTCTTGTAAAAACATTCCTCAGGCAAAACTAACAGTTCCAAATAATCAATGCCTTCAAATGCAATTTTCCATTGAGGAGGCCAGACCTTCTTTTCTTCTTTTGTTGCTTTTATTTATGTCTTTACAACAAAAAATGAACCCACTGGCATCCCTGCACTTGCACTGTTAGGAGTATAGTTGAGGAGATCACTGTGATTGGCCGTGTGAGATGTCTACTCAAACCCTTACGGATTAATGAAAAAGCTGTATTATCAGTGTCACTATGTGGACTATATTTAATGTTTGCCCCAAAAAAATAGAAGACAAAACAGAACATGTACTGCATGTACAGTTAGAATAAAACTACCAATAAAATAGGAATTTCTGTAATACACAATACTTATAATTTAAAAAACTACTATTCTCTATTAGGAAAAAAAACATACTTTTTTCTGGAAACAAATGTGGAAAGTAGAGTCAAAAATAAAAGTAATCCAAATTTTGGCAGGTTAAGTAGAAGCCTTCTGCTTTTTTACTCGAGTTGTTTATTTTACTTCAGAACATCAAATGAACACAAATGGAGGCTAATGTTGGATAACTACTCTAAGAAATATTGGCTTATAAAGTTCAAAGAAAATTAATCTGCTCTCAGAGAAATTTAAACACCACTTTTTCATTTCACCAGTAATCCTGATGCCTGAACAGTTCTGGAGATTACAATTACAAGAAAATTTCTAAATGTTTATACTGAACAAATAGTAATGTCACTGGCTTGCCTTATTCACCTGCCATTTGACTTCAAAAGCCAATCAGAAAGAAGACACGCAGGAAAAGAGTACAAGAGAATTTCAACACATTTGCACAATCAAAATATAAGTTTATTTTAGTACAAAGAATTTTGCAATCCATGCAGGCTTTTTTCATGATATGCATTTTCATGAATATTTGAGAACCGGCTGCACACTTGTCATTCACAACGTTCAAAGTTTTCCAGTTATTATCACCAGAGGGAAAGAAAGAAAACAGGAGAGGTGTAGATAGAAGAGGAGAGGGAGGAGAGGAAGCAGAGGAGAGGGAGGAGAGAGAGGAGAGGGAGCAGAGGGGAGGGAGCAGAGGGAGCAGAGGAGAGGGAGCAGAGGGGAGGGAGCAGAGGGAGCAGAGGGGAGGGAGCAGAGGAGAGGAGAGGAGAGGGAGGAGAGGAGAGGGAGCAGAGGGAGGAGAGGAGAGGGAGCAGAGGGGAGGGAGCAGAGGGGAGGGAGCAGAGGAGAGGGAGCAGAGGGGAGGGAGCAGAGGAGAGGGAGGAGAGGGAGGAGAGGGAGCAGAGGAGAGGGAGCAGAGGGGAGGGAGCAGAGGGGAGGGAGCAGAGGAGAGGGAGCAGAGGGGAGGGAGCAGAGGAGAGGGAGGAGAGGGAGGAGAGGGAGCAGAGGAGAGGGAGCAGAGGAGAGGGAGCAGAGGAGAGGGAGCAGAGGAGAGGGAGCAGAGGGGAGGGAGCTTACCTGAGCACGGACTAACCAGTTTGACAAACATGAGCCCGCTCCTCATCTTCTTTGCAGCATCTTTTACAGATTCTGAAAAGAAAAGGTGACTTTATAGCACCAAAAGACACTTGCTTTGCCGCTCAGCTACTTTACCTGTTTACCTTTCTTTTACCTACATTCATGGTTTTTCCTCCTAAATTTTTGCCTCAAGGAGGACACTGTGGCACAGCACCTTAAGGTCCAGCTGGGGATATCTGTTCCCATATCAACTTGCTGGTTCGAGTCCTGGCTACTCTGCTTTGGATCTGGCTCCTGCGAATGCACCTCAGAGGCAGAGGATGATGGCTCAATTACTTGGGTCTCCCAAGGAGATCCAGACAGGGCTCCTGCCTTCAGCCTAGCCCGGCCCCAGCTGCTACAGTCACCTGGAGAAACAGCGAATGGAAAATTCAGTCTCTCTCTCTCTCCGTCTTTCTCTCTCTCTCCTCTCTCCCTTTCAAAATAAATCAGTCTTAAAAAAAAAAAAGCCAGGTTTTAAGCAAATTGCCAACTTTTCTAAAGTGAAGGTAGAATTTCAGGGAATCTTGATTTATTTCTCTGAAGAGGAAGCAGGGCTGTAGATGGCCTGGGTTATAAGCTGGACTCAGCTATTAAAGAGCGTTGCCTCTGTGAGAGCCTTAACTTCCTGTGTCAAAGAACACGTGCCTCCCAAGGGATCGAAGTTGTAACAGTCAAATAGAAACGAAAAATAAATAAGATATATTATTGACATTACTATTCAAATTAGGAAGTAGGTTATTTAAAACAGTTCACAGAATGAAGGGAACTTGTGTGTGTTTTTTTTTCTGCTGTCCCCATTCCCTTTGCTGCATTTCAGATCCTCATAAATGTAAATACAGCCAACTATGCTGATAAACTGGCTTTACTCATCAATGATTAAAATACAACATCTTTTGTTAAGTCAGTAATGACGTTAAATTTTAAAAGGAAAAACAACCTCATTTTGCTTTTCAACTGAGATGGAGTAGCAGGAATTGGATGTACCCTGTGCCTAAAACAACGGAGAACAAACAAACAAAAAAAGCAAATAACAGACAAAATATATGAAGCAACCATTATTAATTTTCTGAGATTTATTTACTTTTATTGGAAAGGCAAATTTATAGAGAGAAGGAGAAACAGAAAGATCTTCTATCCGCTGGTTCACTCCCCAAGTGGCCACAACAGCCAGAGCTGAGCCAATCTGAAGCCAGGAACAAGCAGCCTCTTTTGGGTCTCCTACATGGAAGCAGCATCCCAAGGCTTTGAGCTGTCCTCCACTGCTTTGCCAGGTCACCAGCAGGGAGCTGGATAGGAAGTGGAACACCTGGGACATGAACTGATGCCCATATGGGATCCCAGAGTGTTCAAGGTGACGATTCAGCCACTGAGCCATCATGCCAGGCCCATGAAATGACCATTCTCAGGACACTGGATGCTGAGTCATGCAGGACACTGACTGCTGAGGGGCAGGGAACAAGGTGGGCCCTAATGGTCCCTGCTTCCTGCCTTGAGGGAGCTTCTGTGTGGCACAGAGAGACCCCAAGGATAGTGGGGCTGACCCCTGAGTTAAAGGGAGATGGCTGAGAATTCTATACAGACTGGCGGAGGTGGCTGCAGCCAGCACTCAGGGAAGGAGACAGTGATGGGGAAAAAACATATCAGACTTCTATAGCCAAGTTGTGTTTGAGTGTTTCATGGAGCAGCATCAGTGCCCACATGTGATGAAACTCCCAGCCAAACAGACGGTCCAACGTTGACACTCACTGAGACATCACTGCCCTCACTCAAGGGCCTGGACTGCACCAGACAAGGAATCACTCTACTGCCACCCACATGGGATACCTAGATGGAGTTTCAGTCTTCTGGCTCTGGTCTGACACAGCCGCAGCCAATGCAGCCATTTGAGGAGATGGAAGATCTTTTATACTGTCTCACCTCACCCCCTCTCTGTAACTTTGCCCTTTTTACATAAGTAAATAAATCTTAAAAAAAGAAAAGACATAAAGAGATTAAAAACATAAGAATCTCTGTGTTTATCATGCTAACTAATCAAAGGCCAGAGGAAGCATTCACAGGCTAGTAACAGAGAAGGACGATCACCACGGACAGGGGCAGTCCTTTCACGCAGAGAGAAGGGCCAATTAACCAGAGAACTAAGAGGACTGCACAGGCTAAGATGTTTATGCATCAAATACAGAGCTGCAAAAAGCCCAAAGCAGAACATCGGCAGAACCTTTCAGCCCACTCCTCCCGGCTGGCAAGCACTGATCTGCCCTCCAGCTCTATAATTTTGCCCTTCTGAGTTTTACATCACTGGAATCATACAGATTCAATTTCAAGAATCTCTTGAAAGGCTTCCCTTTCTGCAATCTACTCCAAATAAGAAAACAGAATATAAAGGATAAGGCTTGCCCTGTTGAGAACTTTTCCTAAAGGCGAAGGGGAGCAGTGGTGTCTCCCCTCCCTGGCTGTTTCTCCGTTTCCTGGCATCTCAGGCCCCACTGCATCCTCAGGCACAGAAGAGCCCACTGACTCTACAAGAGCCATCCAACCCTTTATCTGGCTTCACTGCCATGAGAATTTTTTTTAAGAAACTTGGTAAATTATTGCTGACGTTTATCTCCTTGGTTTCAAACAAAATTTTGAATGCGGTGAGTTACACATTCTCCTTCATCCTTCCCATTTCTCCGGAGCTTAACATAATTACAAATTTTAAATGCCAAAAGTCTGAAAAATGTATTTGTAATAACTCTCCAAGGAAAGCCACGCTTCTATTTTTCCCGTGAAGAGTAGTAAATCCAGAGGATTAGCTATAGCCTAAAATGTCAAGCTAAAAGAACTTTTGGAATTACTAACTACAAATAAATACTGACATTAATGTGCTATGCTGCAAATGCCAGTGTTCTCTGAAATATGCTTTCGGATATAAAAATATAGATAACACTAAAACGTCTGTGTAATGGAGGAAAAATATATGCATTTTTTACAATGTACAGACAATATGCTGTTGGACTGAAATTATTAGCATAGAATTTCAAGTGGGACACTGCATTCAAGTCGCTTTGCCTGTCTCACTACACAAAGTCATCTCACCTGCCCACTTCACTTCACTTGCTTATTCATCATTGACCAGCAAAATTTAACACAGCCCCTTGCCCATTAGGAAGCTCCATGAAAACACAGGCCTTCCCTCCACCCCAGGATATGTTTATTCAAAAGGCAGATTGTTAGAGACAGAGAGAGATCTTCTATCCACTGGTTCACTCCTCAGATAGTTACAATAACCACAGCTGGCTTGGGCTGAAACCAGGAGCCTGGAGTTCCTTCCCAGTCTCCCACACGGGTGTGGGGACCCAAACACTCGGGTCACCTTACAGTGCTTTTTCCAGGGCATTAGCAGGGAGGTTAACTAAGCATAACCAGATGCCCATATGGAATGCCAGTGTTGCAGGTGGTGCTTTACCCACTATGTCACATCACGGGCCCCAAAAACAGATCTTAAATCAAGTAAACATACACACCAATGCAGATCAAAAATGTAACAACTGCTTAGAAAAAGAAATGCAGAGAATATGAAAAGAATTTTATGACACGAGACATACAACAGATAAAGTCTGGCAAGACTTCCTGTACCTAGCGCTGTTTGAGCGCTGATGGCTATGGAGTCAAGGAAACTATGCATTTGTTTCACCAATTAAATCCTCAGCCAGCCAGTGAGCCAAGGCCAGGCCTCAGGAAGGTTGTTTTGTTTTGTTTTGAAATGTGTTTTGTATTACCTAACAATTGTGCACAAGTGTGGGAGACAAGGATGGTATTTTGACACACATACGCAACGTGTGATGTTCGTAACAGGAAAATCACTGTACTCCTCATTAAACATTATTATGTTGGAAAGATTTGACATCTTTTAGTTACTTCTTAATAATCTGCCAACTTTTCAATATTTATTTATTTATTTATTTTTAAAGGCAGCAAGAAACAGAAAGACAGAGAACTTCCATGCCTGGTTTATTCCCCAAATGCCTATAACAGCTAAAGCCCAGGAATTCAATCCAGGTTTGCCACATGGCCAGCTGGGACCCAATCACTTGTTCCTTCACTGCTGCCTTTCAGGGTGTACATTAGAAGGAAACTGGCCTCCGACAAGGAAACAGCACTCAACCTCAGGTACTTCAGCACGGGAGCTGGCTGTCCCAACTACATCAAAATTGTTTTTCCAAACACTGACCCTCCTTATGGCTGCTTGGAAACACACAGTAAAGAACAATTAACTCTTGTCATCCTATCGTGCTATGGAACTGTAGAACTTATTCCTCCTATCTGTGATGTTGCATCCATCAACCAACCTGTCCCTTATCCCTACCCTCACTGACTATTCAATTTATTTCCTGCTCTAATCTTCACCTCTTTTCCTTCTGCTGGCTTTGAATTTGGTTTCCTAAGGTGGAATAATGTTGCTCAGTTGCAAGCTTTCTAATTTTTAAAAATACAGGCATAGATACCTATATATTTTTGCACTAAACACTATTATCTACATCCCCTAAGTTTTTATGTTGCATTTTATTATTACGAGGTACTTTCTAATTTCCTTTATAATTTCTTTCTGTGACCTGTTTACTTAGAAGGCATTTTATCTAATTTCCACATATTTGTGAATTTTCCCAAATCTCCTTCTGTAATCGCCTTCTGTTTTGATTTCACTGTGGAGGACAGATTTTGTAAATTTGTGGCCCATCACGTGTTATGTTCACATTTGCTTTAAACAAAGATGTATTCCACTGCTGTTAAGTGCAGTGTTGCATTGTTGTCTTAGTTTTAGTTGGTTTATGGTGTAAGTAACACCTTTTGTTTCCTTGGTGAACCACTTCCTACTTGTTTTATGCATTAGTTATAATGGTATCTTCTTAGTTATACTGATTAGCTACTGATGTCTCCCACTATTTTTATTTAATTGTGTTTTCTATTCTGTCAGTTTTTGCTTCAGGTATTTTTTGGACTTGTTTAATATTTTCCTGTACAAAGTTTTCCTGGTCTTACAGTTTGTTTGC